ATTTCACTCTTGACCCTTCCACGACACTGATAATGCCATGCTCTTGTGAAACTCTTGTTGACTGCGGAATTTGTGATCATGACATCATTCGATTGGTGTTCGATATCTACACCCAGACGTTAGATATTCCTGCCTCATACTTTGAACCTCGAGGTTGAGGTGCACAGAAACAATATCCATCATAATATGGAGAAAGAGTGCTCAGTCTCAGATGTTTTTTGCTGGTCATACCTGCATTAAATTCCTCATTTTTATAAAATAATATGAGTTAGTTGCTAGTGAGCATTTTCCGAGCTGATTAGATGACGTCCTCTCACCTTATGTAGATTAAAATTGGGTCTAACTACGATGATAGCAAGGAGATTCCTTTCCACAGCGTTATTCTGTTCAAGGATTCGTAGTACTTCACGTTTGTTGGCCCCAGTGTCGCCGTTGGGTTGGCTCAACATCTCCACAGCCCGACGATATTCGACCATCTCGGGCATCTCCAAAATGGTGCGTCCCACGTCAGTATTTAGCCACGTGAGCTGCCAGGACTTTGTTGGCCACGTTGATGTTGAACGGTCCGTCTCGTAGGAGTAAAAGGCACAGGGTAATGTGCAGGTCGGCACTACATCGCCCTAGTAGCAAGGATAAAGTTGGAGTAGGGTAGTCATCTATGTTTGTCAATTAGTTGCCACTCGTGCCATATGAGTTTTAACGCCAGTGATTTAAAGATGGCAGTCCTTTGATAAGGGGGGGGGAGAAAATTCCCAAGTCTATTAAAATATTCTTACTTTTAATACAAACTTAAGAACGCAAATAGCTGACGACTAGGTATAGCAAGAAAGGCGAAATTAGCATTACCAGTAACGAAAGGCTTGTATCAAAAAAAGTGGAAATGACGGCAGGGCACTCCACTCTGACCGTGGATTAGGCTTATTTATGAGTGGCAAATCAAAACTAAAAGCATATTTATTTTTACAGCCTTAAAAGGCAACGCCATGCCGTGACGCTGCCCACTACCCGCCACGCCACCCAGACGCTGCCAGTCAAGAAAGCTGAAGTGTCAAATTGCATGCCACGGTGATAGCTGATGAAACTTCATTTAGACATGCTATTCAAGTAGCACCAGAAGATATTCCATCAGTACAGAGAAGATTGAATTTTGCTACGGTAGCAGCATCCTCAAGTGCTGGACAGGATAGTACGTGAACAAACTGATGCTTTTACCGGTGGTTCCACGCCAGGTGTGGAGTCTTTTAACAACATTAAAGAAGTCACTTCTCGTCTGGAACGCACAACCTGTGGCGAATTCCACAATGGAAGATAAGATAGGATTTAATTAACTAAATTTTTCTTGGATGCCGGTAAAACTAAAATACTGGAAAAGTCCTTTAGAAAGTTTGTACACCTCACGCCTTTTACTCTATTCCTCCTTTACAAGTTGGAAAGTTTAGCTTAAAAGTGAACACGTTTTGCACGCACTGCGGCAAGAGACGCCAGCAACTTCCTTCTTCAGGGCTGCAGTATAGCCGACACAATACACCGAATCAATTCTCATACAAGGAGTCTTCTAGCCGTTTTATTCCAATCCATACAGTCAGATGGTTTTGTACTTTTTAGCTCTTTCCACTTCAGTAGATCCATGCAGAAGTCCTAAGATCTTGTCGGAGACATTTTACTAATGTCAAATTAAACACTCTATACTTAATTTAAAATTTGAAAGATTTTAAAAATGTCTTCGGTAATTTTTAGAATGCCATTACTAACAATCTTGACAAAATAGAAGCAAGTAAGTAAAAAACAAATTGCTCCACGGCTTCAAATTATGCAGTAGAAGTGGGATGTGGGGAAACTTAGAGCACAAGCCCACTTTTAAGCAAAATGAAATGCGCGTGTTATTTGCGTCAGCAAAGAAGTGCACGGTTTGGAGGAAAGTTGGGCATCTGGTGGGGCCTCGTGCGACTTAGTCATTTGGTAATATGCAACAGCATTTAAATTAATTTTGCTGCCTTCCCAAAGACCTGCTCACCGGTTCCATGGCCCTGTCGACGAAGAACAGAAAGCGCTGACTCAACATAGCTAAGTGGAACTAGTAGTCCCAAAAGTACCTTATGGTTAGCAAATAAACAAATAAAATAAATAAACTGGCACCTCCTTTTGGTGGCAGTAGAATATGATGACATAAGTGCTGCATTTCCCGCTTCCCTGTGTTATCATTGATGTCCTTAAATGCTTCTCAACACCAAAAAAGTCGTATTTGATGGACCATGAACAAGTTAGCATAGCATTGCTTTGATTACCACCGCGACGCAAACAGATGGCTATCAGACTTATTTTGTTTAGTCTCTCAGTAGTGGAACGCCATATCCGGTTTAAAACCGTCGATTTTGTGACTCCAAACGCATAACACTTCGGCAGCCATTCGGGGTTCTACAAAAATGCATTTTTTTCTTTTCACACTTTCCTCTAAGTAATATTTCACGAGAAAATAAAATGTGGGTTTACGGAAATCCACTGTGCATTGGTGTGCATGAATGAGGCCACACTATCGAAATGCTGGAACGTCTTTATAGAAATTAGTATTCAAGCCCTGGTCAATGTTCAGTTGCAAAGACTGCCTTGCAGGACAGAAGTTGTAATTGGTGAATTCTCTTTCCAACCTTTGCATTACTGACACGAAAAAATTGATTAAGTGTATGGCTTGATTTTTCAGCCACTGCCACCTCTCTGTAAGCACAGGCAGCTTCCACTAAACTATTGCCTCCTTTACTAGCTTTCTAGGCTTAAAAATACGTTAAATGCCTCACCCGTAAAGGGGAGTTACGCTTTCTCGAGGACGGACTTGCGCTCGCTCTCGGCAAACCTTTGGACTCTGAGGTCAACAATGAAATGATGGTGACTGGCGCTCCAATCCTTCGGAGAGTTCAGCAACATTCACATGATACTATTCTTTCCAGTGACTTTGTATTGAGAATAGTTTCAAATAGGCTTTTTGTAGCCAAGTAAGCTGTACATGAAATCTGGACGACTCGGTAGCTGGTTACGATAGGTGGACTATGTGCCGGCATTTTGTTAGTTGGATCGTTTTATCTCCAATAAATCTTTTTTGAACAAGTCTTTAGCCTCCTATAATTCATGAACGCCGACACAAAGACGTCACTGTCGACTTCCACTTCAAATTACTTCCACCAAATTCTTTCTTCTTCCCCCCATGTTACATTATCCATTATCGTCTTAAAGATAAGCCATTTTTACTTATAGCGCCATTAGATCAGTGGTCAAGCTTTTTTTAATGCTTTGAGCCGTTGCCTAGCGTTTCGTTTCGATTTCGCGGACAATTGTCTTCACGACTGTGATTCTGCCAGGCGGTGTAGTCTCTGGGCAATTTCAGCGACCTCCAACTCTTCGGAACGTTGACAACACGAATTCTACCCATGCATCGCCTCTTCATTTATCCTCAGAGAGGTCGGTTAAGTTGCTACTGAAGGAGAGCGCGATGGGACACCTTTAGCCACTCAGGGGATATGAGCAAATGCAAATAAACTATTGGATCCACCCGTAGAAACGGCGTGACCTGTCCATCTGATTTATGGAAATGCAGGACCAATTAAAATCCGCATAAACTAAATAGCTCTTCCACAGTTGATTGGCTCTTATTTTCACTTTCGATTTCATGTGCACTCTGCAAATTGTTGAGTTTGCAACGAGTCTCTTAGGCTTAATTCCTCTCCAGTTATGCAAAAACGCTTTACTTGCTAAAGGTGGTGTGATAAATTAACCCTGCTTATAATTTCTTCCCCATTAGTAAGGATCATCACACCTTCGAGTTACCTTGGCAATTGGAATGATGAATGAATGAATGACAGGCGGTTTGTATTGTGTTCAATTCACCTCGTTTTAACACAATGCCAGCCCCAGGCTTTCACCTCTGTCTATGGGAGAATTATTGTATCTTTTTGGAAAAAGGTTTATTTGGCCTTTTTTCAAAGTTGCAATAACTTTATTCCTCCGTTTCTCTATGTGCATACATCATTCTCCACCCAAACCGATTTGTCATCCGCCTTCGCGCACACTTTCAAGTCATTCGGGAAAGAATGGTTCAGTTTTTTCGTTTCCTCTAAATTGAACGTCTTCCTTTCATCCTCACGTGGATGTATTGGTTTACAAGGGTATGAGAAGCATCCCAAAGGCGAGTTGTTAGCAAACAGCGCCACCGATACGATTTCAGTTTACGTTCTCTTGAAAACTGCTGTAAATGCTGCGTGAATTAAGCAATGAACTCTCAAAAACATTTGAC